ATTTATAAAGGTTGTTTGAGATTTTAGAAAATGGGAGGCAGAGAGCTGAATTTACACACTACAGATTTAAATAGAGAGCTGATTGGAGGGAAGGGACACACCCTCTTTCATACAGCTAACAGGAACAGAGCTGAGGCTGTCGATCTCAAGCTGTGTGCTTCAAAATTCTTCCTCTGTCACCTTTTTTTCTCTTGGTGTCAGGAAAACTTGTCAGAAGTGATACAAATAGAAGAGGAACAAAACAGAAATAAAACAGCAGACAGAAATGACACACGGTGCTTTTAATTAAGACAAATACACACTATAGAGGGATATGCTTTGTTTCATATTTCATTTCTAAGGGTTACAACCACTTTAAGTGTTTACAAAATAAATATGTAAATAATGAAAACTAATATAAGACTGAAACAAGAATAAATTGACAAAAGCACCACATTGCACTTTGAGTTTAACTCTAGCTTTGTTATTAATACCTGGGATCTCCATCATCTTACAGTAGTTGAAATACATCTGAACTAAAGAACTGATTAAGTTGTAAGTACATGTGCATGTGGTAGAGACGTTCTGAGCTGTTAATTAATTTTTGAGCATGAATCTGCATCTTTATAACTCTTCAATAATTTTAAGTTATACAGTACATATAAAATAAACCAGAATCATAGAATGTTATCCACGTGTGGTCATTTTTGGGGAAAAGAAAATCATTGCTGTGTAAACTTTTTAAATATACAGTCATGGCCGAAATTGTTGGCACCCTTGATATTTTTCCTGAAAATCAAGTATTTCACACAAAAAAGGTATTGCATTAACACATGTTTTGCTATACACATGTTTATTCCCTTTGTATGTATTGGAACAAATATAAAACAGAGGCAGAAAAGCAAATATGACATAATGTCACACAAAACCCAAAAATGGGCTGGACAAAAGTATTGGCACCCTTAACTTAATATTTGGTTGCACACCCTTTGGAAAACATAACTGAAATCAGTCGCTTCCTATAACCATCAATAAGCTTCTGACACCTCTCACCCGGAATTTTGGACCACTCTTCCTTTGCAAACAGCTCCAGGTCTCTCTTATTGGAAGGACACCTTTTCCCAACAGCAATTTTAAGATCTCTCCACAGGTGTTCAATGGGATTTAGATCTGGGCTCATTGCTGGCCACTTCAGAACTCTCCAGCGCTTCTTTGCCATCCATTTCTGAGTGCTTTTTGACGTATGTTTGGGGTCATTGTCCTGCTGGAAGACCCAGGATCTTGGACGCAAACCCAGCTTTCTGACACTGGGCCCTACAGTGCGACCCAAAATCCTTTGGTAATCCTCAGATTTCATGATGCCTTGCACACAGTCAAGGCACCCAGTGCCAGAGGCAGCAAAACAACCCCAAAACATCATTGAACCTCCACCATATTTTACCGTAGGTACTGTGTTTTGTTCTTTGTAGGCCTCATTCCGTTTTCGGTAAACAGTAGAATGATGTGCTTTACCGAAAAGCTCTATCTTGGTCTCATCTGTCCACAAGACGTTTTCCCAGAAGGCTTTTGGCTTACTCAAGTACATTTTGGCAAACTGTAGTCTTGCTTTTTTATGTCTCTGTGTCAGCAGTGGGGTCCTCCTGGGTCTCCTGCCATAGCGTTTCATTTCATTTAAATGTCGACGGATAGTTCGCGCTGACACTGATGCTCCCTGAGCCTGCAGGACAGCTTGAATGTCTTTGGAACATGTTTGGGGCTGCTTATCCACCATCCGGACTATTCTGCGTTGCAATCTTTCATCAATTTTCCTCATCCGTCCACGACCAGGGAGATTAGCTACAGTGCCATGGGTTGCAAACTTCTTGATAATGTTGCGCACTGTGGACAAAGGCAAATCTAGTTCTCTGGAGATGGACTTGTAACCTTGAGATTGTTGATATTTTGCCACAATTTTGGTTCTCAGGTCCTCAGACAGTTCTCGTCTCCTCTTTCTGTTGTCCATGCTTAGTGTGGCACAGACAGACACACAATGCAAAGGTTAAGTGAACGTCTCTCCTTTTTATCTGCTTTCAGGTGTGATTTCTATATTGCCCACACCTGTTACTTGCCCCAGGTGAGTTTACAGGAGCATCACATGCTTGTAACATTCTTATTTATCCGCAGTTGTGAAAGGGTGCCAATACTTTTGTCCAGCCCATTTTTGGAGGTTTGTGTGACATTATGTCGAATTTGCTTTCTTTCCTCCCTTTTTTTGTTTTGTCCCAATACACACAAAGGGAATAAACATGTGTATAGCAAAACATGTGTTAATGCAATACGTTTCGTGAGAAATACATGATTTCCTGGAGAAATATCAAGGGTGCCAACAATTTCGGCCATGACTGTATGTACATGGGGGCAGCCATATTTCCTGATTACATATGCAGGTTCTGATTCCTGCTTAAAGGCAAGTATAGCCAAAGCTTTTTCAGGCTTTATTTAACCTATGAATCACTGGAGTGCAGTTCGTACTGCATTCCTGTGACCCTTTTTTTAGTCGACAGCAGGCTAAAGTCCGCCATCGGCTGACGTCCTGAGCAGGTCCAGACTCTGGAAAGATCTCAACTATATGGTTGCAATTGACTTGAAAGCCTGGACCGGGATCTGGCTCAGCCTTTCAGCGAACCAGCCGCACCCGCCCTCTCCAAAGCCCAGTGCTCCAGTGAGTGGTAGAGGGACAGAGCAGAGAGCCGAAGACTGACAGTCCTGACTCTCTGCTCAGAGCAAAGGGGAGAACTGAGCAATCAGCGGTATTTGATCGCTCAGTTCTCACAGAAGAGGAACAAAACAGAAATAAAACAGCAGACAGAAATGACAGGCGACAGACACCACATCAGATCCACCTAGGTGATAAAGTGCACGCTTCTATTTTAAATACAATATTCTGCTGTTTTGTCTTATATCTTTACCTGGTAGCTGTTTAGGGATTGAGTGATTGAACATTGTTTGCTCTCCTTCATATGGTTAATCTACAAAAAATCATATTTGATAACTAAAGCATTGGGGAGCAAGCATGTAAAATGTTAACCACATACAAATTATGGTACAAACTGTAATAGCTCTGTATTTACTGGACATATAGTACACTTTTCATTTAAGAATTTTAGGAAATCTAGAACCTTCAGGCACATTTAAAACAAAAATTGTAGTTACAGTGATGAAGAAATGATAATAGAAACTTTCGAAATTCTGCTTAACATAAAAAATACATATTTCCTATATAGTGTAAGCTCCAAAGAGCAAAGCCCTCCTAACCCTCTTGTATTGAACTGTATTGTTGCTATATTGTCTCCCTTTATATTGTAAAGTTCTGAGCAAACTGTTGGCACTATATAAATCCTGAAGAATAATAATATAGTGTTGTAAACCATCTGCACCGTTTCATCCAGTCATGACTTTATACTTCTATCCAAAAAAAGTTGAGATGTTGTCTAGAAACATTAGAAGAAGAAAGCCATTGTTAAAAGAAAGCCATAAGAAGCCATGTGGGGGGCACAGCAAACCTGTGGAAGAAGGTGCTCTGCTCAGATGAGATCAACATTTAACTTTGTCCTTAAAGCAATGTGTGATGGAAAGCTTAACACTGCACATCACCCTGAGCACACCATCCCCACCATGAAACGTGGTGGCAGCATCATGTTATGGGGATGCTTTTATTCAGCAGGGACAGGGAAGCTAGTCAGAGTTGATAAAATGATGGATGGAGCCAAATACAGGGAAATCTGCAAAAAACTTGAGAAAGAGGCAGAGGTTCCCCATCCAGCAGGAAAACCACCCTAAACATACAGCCAGAGCAACAATGGAGTGGTTTAGATCAAAGCATAGTGATGTGTTAGAATGGCCCAGTCAATATGACATCCAATATGACAATATCCAATATGACAGAGCTTGAGCTATTTTGCAAAGAATAATGGGCAAAAATGTCACTCTTTAGATGTGCAAAGCTGGTAGAGACATCCCCAAATGGACTTGCAGCTGTAATTGCAGCGAAAGGTGGTTCTACAAAGTATTGACTCACGCTGGCTGAATACAAATGCACTCCACACTTTTCAGATATTTAATTGTAAAAAATGTTGAAAACCATGTATCATTTTCCTTCTACTTCACAATTATGTGCCACTTTGTGTTGGTCTATCACTTAAAAGACTAACCTCAAAAATGTTTATTAATGAATGACATACACAGTAAAAACATTGCATCGGAGATCCGGCATACATGCCCAATCACAAGGGCCCCCCACCCCGGAAAGGAAGGACCTCCCGTGTAAGACACTGACCGATGGATAAGACATGTCCACTGATAGAAACTCAACCCCCCTCCCCCACAGAACCAGCCACCCCCACTCTCCCAAGCAGACCCAACCACCTATACCCCACAACTCCAAGCCCCCAATGCTCTTCCCACAATGACCCCCCACCACACACACACACACACACACCTGACTATCCCCTTCCCCGTAGGGGAAAGAAGGGAGCACAGGAAAAAAAACACCGGCCCACTAACACCCCAACCACCCAGACCCCGCTAGATGTAATAGCTACTATAGAACTGCACACAGAAAAGGTAAGATTATGGTATAGTTCTCAGGGATGTATTCTAGAACTGCACACAGTTACTATTCTTTTACAGTATACAGAGGTATATTCTAGAACTGCACTCAAAAAAAAGATATTGCTGTACAGGACTCTGAGGTGTATTCTGAAAATGCACACAGATAAAGTGCTATTTCTATAAGTACATGGAGGTATATTATAGAGCACATGGATAATATGATACTATACAGTGCATAGAGGTGTATTATAAAACTGCACATAAAGTGTTAACATTGTACAATGCACAGAGATGTTGCACTGCATCTATAAAAATGATTTGCCTTTGTAATACTAATCCAAAGGAATGGAACAGATGATTAAAAACACTGTGTTTTGAAGGTGTAATGCATATTCTGTTTGGCTAACATTTTAACTTTTATTTTTTCTAGGTTAGACAGCTTCTCAGGATGGTATGTTGACGTGTATCGCACATTGGCCAAGACAGTGTCTGGTACAAGACAGACTGCTCTAAAACTGGACACACTCAACATGGGCCAGTGTGTCACCAAGTGTAAAAATCCATCATCCACACTAGGCAGTAAAAACGGTGAAAGGGACTCTAACAAGTCACATAAGAGAAGCTCAGGACACAAGGAAGAACACACATCTGCTGGTGGTAAGGCCTCAGGAGACATCTTAGTCAATGGAACAAAGAAAGCACAGGATGCCGCAGTAGAGTCTTGTCATCCTCAGGCACCAAGTGGTGATGGAAAGAAGAAAGAACCAGGGTTGGGAGCAGAAGTGTCATCTTTGCAAAGGATTGAAGAATTGTTTAGGAGATACAAGGATGAGCGGGAAGACGCCATCTTAGAAGAAGGCATGGAACGGTTTTGTAATGATCTGAGTGTGGACCCAACAGAGTTTAGAGTGTTAGTTCTGGCTTGGAAATTCCAGGCTGCAACCATGTGCAAGTTTACTAGGTACGTGTACTTACTACAAGAACATTAAATCACAGTCCATTTAAAGCCTGCCTAAACCCAGAAACAAAAATGTAATACATTACAGCTTAGCATTCCTTAGATGAGGTGACTGTGTTTGATTTAGTCTTTCGTCTTTTCATTTTATTTTCACCTTTTTGTTATGTGAATAACACTTTCTGTCCTTGGGTGGCTCCTCTCAAGCATCACATTGTATCAAAGCAGCCATGGTTGCTACTCAGGCAGGACTACAAATATCTTCCTTTTGTTGATCTCCTTTACATGGGGGATGGAATGGTTTATACAAAAAAGATAACATTGTATTGCTTGCAGTTGAGCTCACAGAAGGTGGCAGGGATACTGTATTTCTGGAAAGATCGATCGTTTTTTTCCGTACTTGCTGTAAAAAGATCTTGGCCTAAAAAATGAATACTAATGCAGCCATCACGTCAAAGTACTGACAAACTGTAATTTGTTACCTACTTGCACTTGGGTTTAGTTATCCTTTTAATTTTGTTTTCTCTGACAAATAGAAATGGATCGTTCCATGTCAAAGTGAAGACAGATAACTGCAAAGTGGTTTAAATGCATTCCAATGAATAAGAAATTAAATATTTGACTAAATAAGGCCTCACATACACTGGACAGTTTTACTGCTGCTCCTAGGGGCGTTGGGCTTTTTTTTTTTTTTTTTTTTTTTTTTTTTTTCTGCCTCTAAACCCCCCTGCATGTTATCCTATGTGTTTATGCACACATAGGATTTTAGCAGCGTCATGTGGCAGAAAAAAGACCCACTGTCACCACAGCGTCCTGGAGCAGCAGCATTTTGGCTGAAAAAATGCATCTTAACGCTTGCAAACACTAGGCGTGTTCATCGCTTGTGCATTATGACCAGAATAAATGGTTTATTCTGGCCAGTCAAATTACTTAACACCAGAATGCTTGACGCGGGTAAATGCAGTATACACTTTTACAAGCCTTTTTTTTTTTTTTTTTGTCCAAAACCCTGCTGGCTTCCAAAGGAGTTTAAAATTATTGTCTGGTGCATGAGGCCTAAGTGTTCACCCCAATTCATGTCAGTTTTTAGTATGCACTTGCAGCAGTTAAAAGTTTGTTTCCCCATTCATGATTTGTGCTTTTCAGTGTCCTTTAATTGAGTTGCTTGAAGTTTTCTTTTGTCTACAATATTGTAAACCCCTGATTATACACAGGTCATCTCTGATTAACTATTTGTCACATTGGAAAAGAAACTGCTGCACCATTGGTGATTAAGACATATCTGGTTAAAGCCGAACTCTAGCCTTAACTTTCGTTTTGCACAGTTATACGGGCTCTTTTGATGTACTGAAATTGCTTTCCTTGATTTCTCCGCACACTGTAAGCTTTTCCCAGTGCGCTTTAGAAGTTGCAGCAAGTCAGAGCTCACCTTATTTCCTGGCTGGCATACATCCAGCATCTTCTAGCCTTCTCTGTCCCTGGCCCACCCCTTTCATTCATTGGATTTCAGTTCTTTCAAGCCCAGAGGCATGACATACAGCAAACTGCTGCTCAAATGCTTCTATCAATGATTTATGATGCCATCAACACAGACACTTAAGGTTCATTCTGACTGGCCAAATTAGTTATTTATTATTGGTACTTATATAGCGCTGTCAATTTACACAGCGCTTTACATATATATTGTACATTTACATCAGTCCCTAACCCTCAAGGGGACTACAATCTAAGGTCCCTAACTTACATTCATACATACACATACTAGGGCCAATTTAGACAGGAGCCAATTCACCTACCAGCCTGTCTTTGGAGTGTGGGAGGAAACCGGAGTACCCGGTGGAAACCCACGCAGGCACAATGAGAACATGCAAACTCCAGGGAGGTGGTGCCGTGGTTGGGATTTGAACCAGCAACCCTAGTGCTACCAGGCAGAAGTGCTAACCATTTAGCCGCTGTTCTTCTTGCACATTCCTATTTCTCTGTAATAAACCTATCGGATTGTTCTAAAGTATAACCGCTTTTTCATTTTACTTCCCCTGCCAAAGCCCTGCACTTGACCGTGTTAAATGTATTTATATTATGCTCATTTATTGGTTTACTGATTAATCCAAAAAAGTGAAGTGTAGTTAATGATTTTTTTATACTAGTTATAGAAGGAAAAAAAATACTTTTACTGCAGTACTAACATGACCCTCAAACATAAAGCAGAAGTCAGTTGCACATAAGAAGAGATAAGAAAATCAGACACATTGGTTCAAAATGACATTGATAGCAGACACAATAAGGCAACAATCCTTTTTATAAGGATGACAGGGTTGCAAGATCACAACAAAAGACTTGGGGACACTTTAATTTTCACAGTGCTTATTGTAGAGTCTTACACAGGAGCTGGTTCTAATGAAGGGCTAGTTGTTATAAATTATATTATAGACTGTTGACCCATGGAGTTATTCAGTTGCCCTAAGGATCAAGACATTTTATTTTCACTGTTGGATTGAATTGAAATCTGGTTCAGAAGTATATTTGTCCACAGAATCACCTACAGGTTTGTTTTTTTTTTTTTAACTGAACTACAATTAGAGATGTGCTGTTGCTTTGGGTCACCTTTTCTGGGGTCCCTCTCCTGTGCACCTGGCTCCTCCCTTCCTTACAAGTGCCCCTTTAGTAAGCCACTTGGTACGGGAGCACTTGTTCAGGCTCGATCCCAAGCTGGACTATGTGCGTCTATTGATACACAATGCCGCCCAGCCCTGCTCCCTCCTCACAGCAATGGATTGACAGCAGCAGTCCTGTGATCAGGGAGAGAGAGAGCAGTGCTGCTGGATCGAGACTGGGCTCAGGCTAAGTATTTATGAGGTCTAAGGGGTAGCTGAGCACAGGTGGGTTTTTACCTTAAGGCAAAGAATGCATTAAGTTAAAAACAATTTCTACCTTTTACAACCACTTTAATGCATCCCCGAGCATTTAAAGGAATTGTGTCTTGTTAAAGGTTGAAGGTTTTTATGCCTTCATGCATTCTATACATAAAGGTTAAAAAACCTTCAGTATGCATTTTTCCCTGCAGCCCTCAATACTTACCTGAGCCTGATCAGGATTCAGCGATGTGCATGAAAGCAACTACTATCCTGGGTTCCTGCCTCCTCAATGGCAGAGAGAGACAGCAGCAGGGAACCTATGGCTCTTACAGCTGTCAGTCACAGCCAGTGAGGAGGGAGTGGTGCGGGGCTGAATCCCATTCTGTGTATCTTATGGACACACATTGGGGCTCAGGAGCAAGCACCCATATGTGACTCCATAGCAAGTGGCTTGCTATGGGGGCACTCGGAGAAGATGAGGAGCTAGGAGTGTTGGCGGGGGGCCCGAGGAGAAGAGGATCAGGGTTTGCTCAGTGCAAAACCATTTTACAGAGCAGGTGAGTTTAAAGCAATTCTAAATGGTTTTTTTTTTTTGGTAACATAACAAACATGCTATACTTGCCTACTGTGTGCAGTGGTTTTGCACAGAGCAGCCTGGATCCTCCTCTTCTGTCCCCGCAGGCTCTTCTGGCTCCTCCTGTCTATCGGGTGCTCCCACAGCAAGCAGCTTGTTGCCCTGCTCAGAGTGTCCATTCACACACGGAGCCGTGGCTTGGCCCTGCCCTTTTTCTCTCCGGCTGACTGACTGTGACCGCAGCGGGAGCCAATGGCAGCTCTTGCTGTCTCAGCCAATAAGGAGGCAAAGGCCTGGGACAGTCAAGGCTGTCATTCACATCGCTGGATCACGGTGAGGCTCAGGTAAGTTTGATATTTTAAATTAAAAAAAAAATTACCTACCTTTTTTTTAATATCCCACTTAATGTTGCCCTTTAAGCCATATTAAAAGATCTGCTCCCTGTGAAACAGAATTTTATTACACATTTTTTTTTTTTGCATTGGTACGTGTCTTTCATGGTGGTAGCCAGCCACCCTTCGTTTTTTTTTTTTTTTTTACCAAAGTCTTGCTAATTGGCTGTGAAAAAGGGCAGAAAAAGAATACAAGATTTGGCTCTCATAAACTGCAGTGAAGTTTGAGTTGCTATTTTCAGCATTTGCAGGTTTCAGACTTGGTTTGCAAATCCTCCTACGAACCAATCCCAGGCCAATTTTCTCATCACAATAACTATAGAAGGACAACTGGGGTGTAGAGAGGGCACTAACCATAGCTGCAAAAAAACAGTTGTTACATGTGATATCATGGTATACCAGTTCTGAAGACACATCAATTAAATATTATTCTATTACATAGTATACAATCTCTGCCTTCACATAAGTTTCTTTTTATTGAGTTTTCTCTGCCAAAGTCCTTCACTTGACCATATATAAAATGTATATAAGGTTATTCATTAACTGATTAATACAATAAAAAGTGAAGTGTAGTTAATGAGTTTTTATACTAGATCTAAAATGAAAAAAAAAACTGCAATAACCTGACCCTTCTAAGGCCTCGTTCACACAGGCGTACTGCAGCACACACTAGTGAGAGGGCTGTGTTTACCTGCATGGAGATGCAATGGTGTTCCGCCGGTGCATCCTTGTGCAGGCAATCCCATTCATGTCAGAGGGGATGCAGAGGCTGCACAGACACAGCCACTGCTTTCAATTTGATATCTGCGTGGGTGTACTTCACATGAACGCATGCTGTCATGGGTAAGCATGGCCCTTGCACTGGCATATTCTGTAGTACACTTGTGTGAACAAGGCCTAACACAAAGCAGACGTAATCTGACAATGCTGCAAAATATTGTGTTTATTCATAGCAACACCCTTTTATTACCTGCAGCTTGGCATATTTTCAGTACTGTCCTGATGACCCCTAGTATACCTACCCAAACATACTGCAGCGTAGTGAAGGCATTGTCCTTTATATTCCTCACAGAAACAGCCCTACATGCCATGCTAGTATAGTAATCTGTATACAAGAAAACGGGAATCATTACTTCCTTGAGGACTATGCATAAATTGGGACTGTTGAATACAACAGTAGCATTGTCCTCAGTAAGGCTTTCTGATTGCCCCCCCATCCTAACTGCTGACCAGGATTTGATCCCTTTCATACACAGCTGGTGATTTCAAAAATTTTTGTTTTTAATTAATTTTTTTCAGATTTGTTTTTTCTCTTTCTTCCTTGCAGGAAAGAGTTTTTTGAAGGATGCAAGGCAATAAATGCAGACAGCATTGAAGGAATTTGCAACCGGTTTCCCAGTCTCTTAAATGAAGCCAAGCAAGAAGATAAATTTAAGGATCTTTATCGTTTCACTTTTCAATTTGGCCTGGACTCAGAAGAAGGGCAGCGGTCACTTCATCGGAAATAGCCATTGCCCTCTGGAAGTTAGTATTCACCCAGAACAAACCCCTCATTTTGGACCAGTGGTTAGACTTCCTAATTGAGAACCCCTCAGGAATCAAGGGAATCTCCCGAGACACATGGAACATGTTCCTAAACTTTACTCAGGTGATTGGACCCGACCTTAGCAACTACAGTGAGGATGAGGCCTGGCCTAGCCTCTTTGACACCTTTGTGGAATGGGAACTAGAGAGAAGGAAAAAGGAAGAGGAAACCAAATGTTTAAGATCTTCAGACACAGATCATCTGAGTATAGATGAACAGACTTAGCGCAATGTGAACATCAGACCCCCGTTGACCTTCATTAATGTACATTTATGGACCTTCCCTGGAAATTTAATGGAAAATCCATATATTTTGTTCTGTTTTGGTTTCTTAAACTACTTTACACCTATTTCTGCCTTGTATCTGAAAGGGCTCTAAATGCTGGTAACATGTTTCAGGCACTTTCTTACTGTTTGGTTATTTTAGTTATTTGTTTTTTTAATAGGAATATTTTATCTTATAGTGCCAGAAAGTGTTTCACCTTTATATTTCAGGTTTAACCGGCTCCAATTAAGTTAAATGGGAGCTTGGATAGGCGGGTGGGGGAAGGCAGGGTTTGTGATCAGTTTATTTAATTAAACCCAATTGACATTTTTAGGTTGGGAAAAAAATAGCAAGGCATTGCATTGTAGGGCATGGGCAGCCAGGTGGTGACTGTTCTGCTTATTGCAGAGTCCTGCACCTTTTTTAAAAAAGCTAAATATTTTATACTAACCCCTCCAGTGCCAAAGAGGCCTGCAACACATCAGTCTGGCACATGCAGGATTGGAATAAACAAAAAAAAAATGCAGTTCTCAATGAGAGTGCCAGGATTGTTTTTTTCTTTTCAAGATCCTTTGGTGATCAGGACAGTTGTGTACAGTGTGTAGTGGTGTTTACATTGTTGGTGTTTGAGTTGTGACACTCTTCAGTGGGGTTGGATCAAGAACACATTTCCTTCAAAGCTATTATGGAGCATTAATCATATTTGCATTATTTGCAATCATAACAAAAATAGGACATGGTTTTTCTATTAAAGTAAATCTGTCATCACAATACTGACTGCAAATTCTCTGGTAAATAGAGCCACTGTGTACTAGAGGTAGTGAAGTTTCAGTTTAGCTGATGTGACTGCTCTGGGATTAGCATGTGGTCCAGGGGGCAGAGGAGATTTTTTTTCACTTGCAGGCTTCCCAAGTTAAGCAAGTATAGTTACAATGGATTCCTCTTAACATGTTTGCAGATTTATTTAAACTTTGTATGAAAACTGAAGGGAAGAACATCATATGGCATACCAACTAAATCAGTATTTTCATTTTGTTTTCTGATTGAACAGAGAACCAATTTGGCATGACCAATTTTTTTCCTTCCCTAGCTTTAATTCACAAGTCCATGTTTATTTTGTAAGAAATGGATTTGATGCCATATGTTTTGGAAATAAAAATTATGTAAGAATTATGTTGGCATGAAATGTTTTGGATCCATGGATAAATGTTCTTCTGCCATAACTCTCAAGTATAGTCTCTATAGGAGATGGATCAGAGAGATGCTGTGGAGGGGATTTCCAGGACAACATAACATTTCACTTCTGCTTTTGACTTCCCTGTTGTAAAATGGAGAATTCCTTCCTTTTTGCATTGTGCCCCCTAGTCAAGGTCATAAAATGCAGAAGGCAATATTCCAGATTTTTGTTGCTGTTTTAGTATTGACCAAAATTCGGCATTACTGTCTAAGTCAAGTTTTAATCTTGATTTAAGAGCATTAGAATACATATTTTTTGGACAGTAAAGCAAATGTGAAGATGAAAGTTGACCCTGTATTTTAGATACAGGGACAAAGTTTGCCATTCAACTGGTAAAGAAAACGTTTAAGCTTTTTTTAAACTTATTGCACTTTTCCCCCTTATCCCTTGTATGTTTAATATTTGTTTGCATTTCCTGATCTTGGCTATCCATTGGGCTGCCATGTAATAATGTCCTGGCAGCAGATAATTTCTGCATGATGAAATGAAAGGGTTAATAGTCAACAACAGTGCACTCCATATGTTTTGAAGAGTTTTTGGCCTCCTAATCTTTTTTTTTTTTTTTGGAGTTTACAATGACCCTTGTAATTTTGGAATGGATGTTATTTGATAACTTGCTGCAGGCTATAATGATGTCCTGTGACAAACAACCAATAAGAATGTGACTATTTGAGTTCCTTCTTAAAGTGATCTGCCATTGCAGTCTGTGTGGTGCACACCATTGCTCTTTGCATTAACATTAAAGTGGAAGCTCAGGTTTGACATACCAAACATGAAATACTTATTATAGTGAAACTTTTATTTCTTTCATTGTTTATTAGCTTGACGCCTGCTGTTCCGTTATCAAAATAGTAGTTTTGTCAGTGCCTATTCAGATTTGTACATTTGAGGCAATGGAACTTAAGCCAAAATGTTTTAAATTTGGATAAAAAATTAGAACCTTTCTTCGGTTTTAATGGCATTGTAACTATTGGCAAGATTACCTCTCAATTCCTGCCCTACTGTTGTCTTATTCACAAGGACAGGAAGTGACGTGAAGTTTCCCCAGTTGTTCTATTGACCACAATAGAAACCTGACAGAGAATGTGTTCTTTGCTTCACTCTAGCTTAAACTTATTTTTGGCTTTTAGTTTTGAACAGAGGTACACTTTAATGCTGGGCATACACTAACAGAATTTCAGACAAGAATATCCATACAAACATCCATTCTCAAAATTTGCTTTATATTCAATGAATGGACAAATGTCATATTTGAAAATTTCACTTGCTATTAACAATTAGCTTGAAAATTAATGTAATTCCTAAACAAAAAAAACATACACTGTCAGTAAATTTGTTGGTTTGAGAAATTGTTGAATTGTCTGGTTAGTGTGGTCGAAAACCAATGTCAGTTTGACCCCAATAATGATTAGAAAATCTAACAAACAACATTCTTTCTTTTTTTGTAAATCAATTGCCCTCCTGAGCATTTTACCCCCCCCCCTCCCGGCAGGCCATTTTTTTGTGATACTGCGCTGCGTTTCTTGAACTGACAATTGCGCGGTCATGCAACGCTGTACCTAAATTAAATTTATGTAACCCCCCCCCCCCCCCCCCCCCGTAAATATAGTTTTCTTTCGGTGGTATTTGATCACCTCTGTGTTTTTTTTTTTTTTTTTGTTTTTTGTTTTTTTTGCGCAATAAACAAAAAAAGACCGACAATTCAAAGTCAAAAATGTTTTTGTTTTTTTTTTTTTTTTTTTTTTAACTGGTTAACTGCCACTTACATCCCCAGTAACACTAATACAGTGATCAGTGCTAATAAAAAGCACTGACACTGTACTAATGACACTGGGCAGGAAGAGGTTAACTTTTGGGTGATTAAAGGGTTAACTGTGTGCTGTTTTACTTCGGAGACATGCTGCTTTGTATCTCTAAGCAGCATGTCCATGCTAACAGCAGACAGAACTGTGCTGTTCACACACAGGTCTCTCCCTTGTCAGCTTTGCCAACGATCACCGACTGCTGGCCGGAAATTGCCGGCCAGGACCCGGTGATTGATATCCCCAGCCGCCAATAGCGGCGCAGGTTGGGCGGGCGGCGTGCGCGCCTTGTACCCGGAAATGCAAATCACGTATATATACGTGATTTTGCACAGCCCTGCCATCTTGTAGCAGTACTTCTGATATAGGGCGGATGGCAAGTGGTTAAATCAGAAATTACGTTTATTAAACCGAACAGAAATAAGGTCCAGAGTATCTGTGTCACAATAGCTGCACACACCAAAACATTTGTCATGTAGATGCATAGGCTGGCAAGGTACTCAGAAATAATACACAGTGGAGTACAGACGGTACCCTCCACTGACCAACAGACTAGTCAGAGAGAGATTCAAACCTGAGCTATCATATAGATTAGGCAGTACATTTAGGGAATTTAGCCATAACCTAACAGTTGGGTTAACACTAATTCTAAGACAGGTACAGCCAGCCAGCCCATATATTAAATTTTCAAATTTAGCCAGGCAGCCCCTGCATTGATAGGTATTTGTGACACACACACACCACACACACACACACTTTTTTTTTTTTATAGTGCAGGATGATACTCCTATTGGATTGGCAATCCAGTCCTGTGTGGACAGAGGTAAAGAACTCTTCCAGTGCATTACGAGCACTTTCCTAAAATAGAGCTCTATATACTGCCTCCTTAACTGCTTCCCGATCACCCTATAGCTGATATACTGCTACAGGGCAGCACAGGTACGCAAAATCGTGTGTGTGTGTGTGTATATATGTGTGTGTGTGTGTGTGTATATATGTGTGTGTGTGTGTGTTTTTGCATTTCTGGGTAGGGGGTGCATGCTCGCCCTACTCTCGCCGCCATTCGCGGCTGTGATTGGCGAGCATCTCTGACGGGGAGAACAGTTCTCCTCCCTGTCAGCTCATGCACTGCTGTAGATGGCTGTGCACAGTAAAACGGCACACAGTTAACACTTTGTTCGCCCCCTCATGGTAACCCCTTCCTGCCCAGTGCCATTAGTACACTGTCAGTGCTTTTTTTTCTTTTTTTTTTTTTTTTTTTTTTTTTTTTTTTAAGCACTGATCGCTTTATTGGTGTCAGTCCCGCTATAAGTTGCTGATCGCCTCCATTACTAGTAACAATTTAAAAAAGAAATCCTAGTGTATATATACCTCCATTTGTAAACGTAAAAACATAAACCAATCCTCTCAAGTAAACCAATTAATTTGGCAAACACATTTTTTAAACATTTTTAATAGCAAAAAGTCAAAAATAGTTTTTTGGTTTTTTTTTTTTTTATCAAAATTGTTGGTCGTTTTTTTTTTTTTTTTTTTTTTTTTTTACAGCGCAAAAAATAAAAACTGCACAGGTGATCAAATACCACCAAAAGAAAGCTCAACTTGTGGGGAAAAAAATCCTCAGGAGAGCAAGTGATTAAAGGATAAGTTAACCTTTTAGACAAATGATAAATGCACATTTTTTTTTTTTCCAGGTAAAAAAAAATTACATTTATTATTTTTGTTTACTGGAGCCTGGAAAGCATTGCACCACTGATCAGTAGATCGCTGATGCCATGCAGGTCTCCTGCAGACCTGTCAGAATATCTGCTTGCTGTATGGGATGTACGAGCAAACAGATATTCTAACAAGAAGCTTCAGTGAACTACCCCGGCGCTTCACAGCGCTGTGGTAGTTCATTGAAAACTACAAGCCCACAGCCGCTA